CTGGGACATGAGCTCCATCAGGAGTGAAGCTGGCCTGTAAAAGACAGAGTGATGGAATGATGATGGGAGGGAGACGCAAGCATCATGACCTCTAAGGAATAGATGGATGGGTGTGCTCCTATCCAGCATGTTTAGTTGTTAACCACCAGTAAATAGCTGGTGACCAGATCCTCAAAGCCGTCAACTCACCAACACAAGCTCACACTGACATTATAAACACAGCTAAAGCTCTGACAAGCACCTGAAAGAGAGGTGACAACATGCTGGTGGTGATCCATGCCACTAGAATAACCCTATAGATGAGACGAGACAAGACAGCTTTATGGACCTAGCACATGTCCTACACAAAGGCAGCTCAGTGTGCGTTACAGCAGTAGGAACACACACACACAAAAAGCAACAATGCAATTACATACACTAAAACTAGAAGACTAACTAAATAGCAATAAAATGAGAAGAGAACTAAATGTGGTCAGCCAGGAATTAGTAAGTAAGTGAAAATAAAGATGAAGCTGAAGAGACTAAAACAAGGCAGTGAAAACTGGTAAAACGAGCTACAGAAAACTGTTTTTGTGGGGATCAAAGGAACAGTGCTAGGCTAGTTTGAATCCTACCTGTCTGACAGATTTCATTTTGTTGATGCAAATGAGAAATCTCTTTTGTAAGTTCTTTCTGTGTTTGACTTCAAATTCTATTTTTAGTTCATTTTTAAACACAAATAAGGTCTGGGAGTTGAGCTTGACTCCATCCTCAACCCGAAAAGGCCCCACAAGCTCATCTTTGATGATACCAGCCCAAACCAGTACTCCACCTCCACCTTGCTGGCGTCTTGAGTCGGACTGGAGCTCTCTGCCCTTTACCAATCCAGCCACGGGCCCATCCATCTGGCCCATCAAGACACTCTCATTTCATCAGTCCATAAAACCGTAGAACAATCAGTCTTGAGATATTTCTTGGCCCAGTCTTGACGTTTCAGCTTGTGTGTCTTGTTCAGTGGTGGTCGTCTTTCAGCCTTTCTCACCTTGGCCATGTCTCTGAGTATTGCACACCTTGTGCTTTTGGGCACTCCAGTGATGTTGCAGCTCTGAACTATGGCCAAACTGGTGGCAAGTGGCATCTTGGCAGCTGCACGCTTGACTTTTCTCAGTTCATGGGCAGTTATTTTGCGCCTTGGTTTGTCCACACGCTTCTTGCGACCCTGTTGACTATTTTGAATGAAACGCTTGATTGTTCGATGATCACGCTTCAGAAGCTTTGCAATTTTAAGACTGCTGCATCCCTCTGCAAGATATCTCACTATTTCTGACTTTTCTGAGCCTGTCAAGTCCTTCTTTTGACCCATGTTGCCAAAAGAAAGGAAGTTGCCTAATAATTATGCACACCTGATATAGGGTGTTGATGTCATTAGACCACACCCCTTCTCATTACAGAGATGCACATCACCTAATATGCTTAACTGGTAGTAGGCTTTCGAGCCTGTACAGCTTGGAGTAAGACAACATGCATGAAGAGGATGATGTGGACAAAATTCTCATTTGCCTAATAATTCTGCACTCCCTGTATGTTTTCTCTGCATGTTATTCTACCCAGAAGAAGCTACACTGGTGTTCTGCTGGGCTGTCAGCCTCCTGGAGGGGGTCATCACCAACCACATAACATTCTCCCTCTCCTGATATGAACTTTTTACTTTCTTTAACATAGAATGTGCTACTACTAGTTCACCTGTTAAATTAACTACAGATTCACTCAGATAAAGACAACAAAGTGTATCTGTTATGAAATTGAATATCTACTAAGATATCACAATGTATGCAGCCATAGAAACACTAGCTGGTGTGTGTCTGCTTCATCTTATCAAACCCCAGTGAATGTGTGTGTATGTGTGTGTGTGTGTGTGTGTGTGTGTCTGCTCCATCTTCTTGATGTCCATCGAGCCACGGCAGATGGCTGCTCATAATGAACCAGGTACTGTTGAAGGTTTCTTCCTGTTAAAGGGGAGTTTTCCTCTCCATTGTGGCTAAATGCTTGTTTAGTATGAGGATTGCTGTAAAGACTGACACTAGTCAGTGACTCGATGCAATAAGCTGGGTTCCTTATATAGGAAACTTTTTACTGATTGGCTTAATGAACTGACCTGTATTGGAATGTTTACTATGTGAAGTGCCTTGAGACGACTCTTGTTGTGATCGGGTTCTATGTGAAGAAACTGAGTTTAATTCAAATATTTGTGAAAAAATAAAAATAAAAACAGAATCAAGAGTGAAAGCAGGCTACAACACAATAGATCCTCCCCTGAAGTTCCAGCAAATGGAGCAGAAACATTACAGGTTTAAACTCTTGGTTTTAGAGGCCCAGCTGCAACCCAACACCTTTCTCACCTATACTGTGGACTTGTTACAACAACATGCAGCAGCACCCACTCCATCATGTCAGTAGCTAGTCAGCAAACTTCTAAATACAAGACTGTATTTAGAGGGAAGGGCAGGCTGCAGAGCAACTGTAATGACTGTACAAACATACCTATTAGGGGGACAAAGTTATCGTTTGTTTACTTACTCTCCCAATGGCAGCAATTCAAATTGTATGCTAGCAGCAGGAGCGGGCAAGATGGTCAAAAAATTATATCTTGCTTCAGAGTATTCTGAATATAACAATAATTAAACACATTTGTTGTTATTGGTTATTTATTTATTCTGCAGCAACACTGGGGCCCTAGGATCGGTTTTATTTTTTCACAAATCTACCTTTTCTGCTTTTTTTCCTGAATTCTGCATTAGCTTTTAAACACAAAGGCGAGGTCACAGAACTCTCACCCCTCCTATCGACTATCATCCATAGCCCCCCGGATACGAGAATGCACATTTCCACAGTGAACGAGAGAACACAAAACACCAGTCTCCATTTTCTAGGTCCAAACGTCTCTTGTTGACTTCAAATGGTGATTTTCTTTTGGGGACTCTGGTAGTGACATCATATGGTACCAGCTAACGTTCTAGGGTACCTCTTAGCCAATAGCGATGGCAGATTTAAATTCAAATGCAGTGCAGTTTTTACCTGACAACAGCACAACACTGACAGTTTTAGGCAGAAAATTTACATTTCAACTAAAATGCACTAAAGTGCAAAACTAAAGTTGATTTGGAGGTGACTTGCTCTTTAACTCATTCGCTGCCAGCCGTTTCCTGATCAGTAAAGCCCTTCGCTGCCAGCGTTTTTCACCGTTTTTACAGTTTTTTTTTTGAGTTGTGCGCTAGGATGATGTCGATGCCAAAACAACCAAAACTAAGCGGAGACTCCCCTCTTACATCAGGAAGAATCCGCGCGTTTCAAGCGTTATCCGTTCTTTCATAATCTGTTGTTGAATTGTGATCGGCAGACGCTTTTCCGGGTCGTGCCTCACTTTTTTCCAGGAACGGCCCAAAACGATCTCCTAACACATGGATTTTCTGCTTCCTGGTCACGTGACGTGTGACGTACGCGGATTAAGACTGGCTTCAGAGCTGAGATGTTTGTTCTCACGGCGCGGGGGCTCGTTCCGATGCCCACACAGTAAAAAAATGCAAATGACGACTTAAGTCGTCATTGGCTGTGAACGAGTTAAGTTTCCAGAAACCAGACAGGTGTACTGGACTTGATATCGCTGCCAAATTTTCAGATCCTCTGATGTTTTAGGAGAGGTTACACACAACACTTTCAACCTCTGTTGCAATAACCTATTATAGCAAAAACATTTGTTCTACTTTGACTGAAAATGTTGTAAAAAGATGCTGCAAAATTGATCATTTTAGGCATTAATTATCACAAGAACACATTGCAACATCCTGGAAGGACTGAGTAGGAAGAAGGCTCATCAAATCTTCTAGGTTCTTGATTTGGGGGGGTTCTAGGACTGAAGAAGGAACTATAAAAACAGGTAATTTACCGTTTAAATGATTTTTGTTGGTGTGAAGTTCAAAACAAGCTTGTAGATTTGAGTAATCCCACACTTTAAAAACAAAAATAACACTTAAACAGCCTGAGTATGTTCACATTTAGAGAAAACAGAAAGTGAGTGGAGCCAGATGAGGTGGCTCAGGCCCCTCTAGTCAGGATGCCTCCTGGACGCCTCCCTGGTGAGGTTTTCCAGGCACATTCAACTGGGAGGAGACCTAAAGGTAGACCCAGGACACGCTGGAGGGACTACAGCCACTTACACACTAGCATCGGCTCAACTCCACCCATGTTCGTTCCACACTACCTTATAGGAATGCAGACGTGATAGAGCACATGAGCAATCTGTGGTCTGTGATGTCATGAGTGCATCTCTGAGCACGTGGGCGGGGCAAAAAGAGTGCAGAGAAATCTGCGGTGTCTCCATTATTAAACAAAAGTGGCCTGAGCAGTCTTGGTTTTGGAAAATCTTTGACTCTGATATTGCACCCTGCTTTGCTCTGTGTGTGTGTGCGTGCGTGTGTGTCCTCACTGACGTGAGACGGAGAAAAAAGGCTTCAGTCAAGAGACTCTTGAACTCCACAGCATCCAGAATAATAATGATGCATGCGGGAAGCCCCCGCAGGCTGATTCTATCCACCAATCGGAAGTTCCCCCTAATAGTAGGCGGGCTTTTGAGCCAGCCAATCAGTCAGCAGTGGGCGTGTTGGCCCTGTTCGGCTCCAGGCAGACCTCCTTGAAAAGAGGGCTGCATAGACGTCCAGTTGCGCGGGAAAATTCAAGACTACCTAAATGAGAAAACTCCCAACCCCGTTCAGGCGGAGTAGAGCTGATGCTAGTGTGTAAGGTCCTTATGTCTCTCAGCTGGTCAGGGAACGCCTTGGGATTCCTCCGGAGGAGCTAGCCTAAGTGGCTGGGGAAAGGAAAGTCTGGGCCTCCCTGCTTAGGCTGCTGCCCCAGCGACCCAAGTCTGGATAAACGGCTGAAAATGGACGGACAGAAAGCTTCCATCTATAAACCCACCAGAAACCTTTAACCCACACTCGTAAAACATGAAACCCAGCTCTCACCTGACTCACAGACGATGGAGCCGGGCTTCAGCTCCAGCATCATGGCGATGATGGAGATGTCTGTTGTGTACAAAATCTGAGTCCGGTGAGGCAGGGCGACAGTCCAAAGTTCTGGTGTGGGGTGAAGCACCTGCACCCATCCACCTTTGCTGCAGGTTACCTTTGACCCATAGCTCTGGCCTATGAGTTGTGTCGAATGGCGGATGACTCCGTAGCGTGTCTGAGTTTGGGCGCCGTGCTGCACTTTGACAGGCATCACAGAGTTGTGACCCAGGTAAACAATGATGACATCTCCATCTTGAATTAAGTCCGAGTACTGCACAAAACTCATGGTGTGCTCGTCACTCTGCAGGAGTGAAAAAACACAGCTTCATCAGCTTGCTGTTTATTTCAGCATTAACGCTTAATAATACTTTTATCATGAGAATCATGACTGAATGCAGACAAAACCGTCAGAGAGAAATCAGCAGAACATTTTGCTCAGTTTCACACACAGAACATGTTTACAAATAAATGTTTTAAATAAGAATGACAATTAGATAAATAAAAGCTGAACAACATTCTGACTTTCATCCTAATCTACCACCTATAAAGCTTTTATTGTGGTAAACGGCTAAAACGCCATCAGGTTCCATTTCCATGGTAACTGCACGTGCACTAGCCGTTTTAATCAGTTTATAAAGTTGAATACAGAAAGGACTGCTTCAAGTTCGATTCAAACAGAACGATGTCGGATAGCGTGGATAAAATGTAAGTTATGTTACCGTTTCCTGTGTTTTCAGATATTTACTCTAGATTAAACTAACTCGTTTGATTTTTATATGTACTTTCTTGTAGCCGGTGTTGTGCCAAAGTAGTTACCCCCATTCACCGGAGCGATACTATAATACTGTAAAACCAGACGTGATCATGGAAACACGTCGCTCTCCGGTGAATTTACACTCGGTTTACACTTTGTTTTTGTTGGCGTTGCTATCACGAAAGTTTATTTGCTAAATCAATCACAGTATAACCAATAACTACAGTAACGTTGCGGAATGTTTCTTCACAGCAAAAGTTAAGGAGGGAGAGATTTTATCAGGCTGTGTGGCCTCGGCTGCCAAGGTGTCTGACCCCCCCATCAATAATGCAGTGTGTAAACCGAGGGGAAACTATTTTTGACGGGGGTAACTACTTTGGCACAACACCGGTCTTGGGTTACTATCCCATTTAGCTGAGATTCAGTTATAAGTCTTTACCTACTTTAGCTCCCTGAAGACTGAGTAAAACGAATGAAACCCGTAATGTACAGATTGGTCACAGTGTAAAAAGTTCCACTCGGAGATGAAGATGCTTGACTAAGTAGATGCTAACATTAGCAGAGCTAGCAACCGTTACCGTTGGCTGATTGTCGTTTAGAGCCGTTAAAACTCCGGACCTACACTCTCTTTAACGGTTTCTTCTTCTGGTGTTTAGCTGACAGAACAAACACAGACTCGCGAAATGACAACCTGGTCTCCGCACACAGCTGTAAGCGCCGTCAGACTGCAGTCATTCGTTCCCTGGACATGTGCCGCTATTTTCAGCGGAAGTGGAGTCGAACAGACCGGATGTGTAACCGGACCAAGCCCGTCCGCTACCACGAACAGAAACAAATTGTTCCGAAAGGCTGAAATCCTCAGTTTACCCCGAACCAACCCACAAACACAAGTGTTTCAAGTTAAAATGGGACAACGCTGCTGTTGGTAAATAAAACAGCAGTGACATGTTCACGTCTGTTTTCAAACATAACAGAACAGCAACTTGTTAGCTTTGCCAGACCAAAATCTTGCTTTGCAAAGTTATATTCACATAAATAGGATGGCTTAACCGGCTAGTAAGTTGTTGCATTAAAAGTAACGTGTGTAGAGGCTGGTCCCGCTGAAGCTCAACCGGCCATCCAATTGAATGAATGGACTAGAAATAGCGACCAATAAGATCCGACAGCCCCACTATAAAGTCTGATCTGGGGCTGGCTGCGGCGGATTGGAGGGCTGCTGTCGTCGGAGCGCCTCAGACGCTAAAATAGGGATCTTTGTATCAAGCCCCAGCAGTAGTGTTAGTCCCCGGGCCCGGAGTCAACAGGTAGGCTGGTTTCATTTAGATTTAAGCTATTTTGATAAATCACGGAAAGTTTATTTATTTTTAATTGTGAGGTGATGACAGCTCTTTTAACGTTTCCGCTTCCCTTCCTACTGACGAGTCCGGTTGTGTTTCTGCTTTCATAAATTGTTGCGTCTCTCTCCTCCGTCGTCCGTCCAGGAAATAGCCATGCCTTTCGGTAACACTCACAACCAGCTGAAGCTGAAGTACTCCTCGGAGCAGGAGTACCCGGACCTCAGCAAACACAACAATCACATGGCCAAGGTGCTGACCCCCGTCATGTACGAGCGGCTGAGGAGCAAACAGACCCCCAGCGGCTTTACTCTGGATGATGTCATCCAGACCGGGGTGGATAACCCAGGTAAATGCGGTCAAACCGGCTGCTTCATTGATCCGAGAGGCAAAACTTCATGCACTGTGACCTGAACGGGTTAACTTCTCTGAACATCGGAGATGATTGGGTTAAGGGCCTCTTTTGGGGCAATGTTGCATAACTTTACAGCAGATGTTGCATAATTGATATGAAACAGCTGCTGGGAATCCTTTTGCTCTGCTGTAGTAGTGAGGCTTGTTTGAAAAGCACCTCGACCTGTAGACTTGACTTGTGTTTAGCTCAGAGAAAATGGCCCGTGTGACTCTGAAGAGGCTGTCAGCTGAGGAGGAATTCCCAGATCTCACTCACCACAACAACCACATGGCCAAAGTCTTAACCCTGGCCATGTACAAGGAGCTAAGAGAGAGGGCCACTCCCAGCGGCTTCACCATAGATGGTGTCATTCAGACAGGGGTTGATAATCCTGGTACAGTAACAGCTCCATCTTGAGGCCCATCACGCTTGTGAGGTGTGTGTAAGTCTACGGTGCTGATGTTTGTGCTCAGGTCACCCCTTCATCATGACTGTGGGTTGTGTTGCTGGGGATGAGGAGACGTACGAGGTCTTCAAAGAGCTGCTGGACCCTGTCATCCAGGATCGACATGGAGGATACAAACCCACAGACAAGCACAAGACGGACTTGAACTCTGCCAACCTGAAGGTACTGTACAGCAGCCCTACACACAGCAATGAGCAGAGCCGGGCCTAACGTGTGTTCTGGTTCAGGGCGGCGATGACCTTGACCCCAACTACGTCTTGAGCTCCAGAGTTCGAACCGGTCGCAGCATCTGTGGCTTCTGTCTTCCCCCCCACTGCAGCAGAGGGGAGAGGCGGGCTGTGGAGAAACTCTCTGTTGAAGGTAAAGAACCGGGATGGCCGTAGAAGCTGGGCTAGAACCTACAGAGAACAAAGAACCTTTTTTACAAGAGCTGTCCTATTTAGGGAAGTGAAACCGACCAATGAGTCATTTGTGTAGGTGGCCAGCCCCCTGCTGGCAGCAGGTGGAAGAACACATGCTTGTTATTTTACTTTGCTGCTGAAGTTTGCTCCAGATGAACATATGAAGGCACCTCTTTTAAACTTCAGTTTCTGTCCATATCATAAGAATAGTTTAGAAACCCTGAACCTGAGATGTGATTCTTCAGACTGAATCCTTGAGTCTTGTTTGGCTGAATCATGATTTTTCTGAAACGTGTCTCTGAAGCTCTGGACTCACTGACCGGAGACCTGAAGGGGAAGTACTACGCACTGAAGAACATGACGGAGGCGGAACAGCAGCAGCTCATTGATGACCACTTCCTGTTTGACAAGCCAGTGTCTCCTCTCCTGCTGGCCTCAGGAATGGCCCGCGACTGGCCCGATGGCAGAGGAATCTGGTAACGACTCATTTCTTCATCATCACCCTCTTCCCTTGTCAGTGAGACTAACGTGAAGCGAAACTGCTTCAGGCACAATGATAACAAGACCTTCCTGGTGTGGGTGAACGAGGAGGACCACCTGCGTGTGATCTCCATGCAGAAGGGAGGGAATATGAGAGAAGTGTTCACCCGTTTCTGTACCGGACTCACCAAGGCGAGTAGCAAATGTCCTTCAGGTAAATGAACTATTTGAACAAATCATCTAACAAGTCAACTCTTCAAATGTTTAGATTGAGAGCCTGTTCAAGGAGAGAGGCCATGCCTTCATGTGGAATGAGCACCTGGGCTACATCCTCACCTGTCCGTCCAACCTGGGTACCGGTCTGCGTGCTGGTGTGCACGTGAAGCTTCCAAACATGAGCAAACATGCAAAGTTCGAAGAGATTCTGAAGAAACTCCGACTCCAGAAACGTGGAACAGGTGAGAAAACCACTTGTTCCAGAGGTGTCTGTTAGACTCGAAACAACGCTGAACCTGAGACCTTCTGTTGGCCTTCAGGTGGAGTCGATACCGCTGCTGTGGGCGGAGTCTTCGACATCTCCAACGCTGACAGATTAGGCTTTTCTGAGGTGGAGCTTGTTCAGATGGTGGTTGATGGGGTCAAACTGCTGGTGGAGATGGAGAAGAAACTGGAGAAGGGCCAGGCCATTGAAGATCTGATGCCTGCCCAGAAGTAACCCCCCCCCCCCCCCCCCCCCAATGCACTTATTAAAGTTTGGATTTAAGATGAAAACATTCCTGTGAGCTGAAGGTCTGAACGGAAATAAAAGTTATTGTTGAAGTTTAACTGGTTCTTCTGTCTCGGCATCCAGCCTGCTTTAGTCCATGTTCAGGAAAGGAACAATCTGCTGTTCTCCAGGCTTTCTAAGCTGCTGGTTTAATTTCTCTTCAGTCCTGACCATGACTTTAAAGGTTGGCCAATGTTGAAACCCCCTCAACCCCCTTCTACGGTGTACTTCCTATATGTCCCATTGATCTTTGTTTAGGAACATCAATCTTCATGGCTGCTAGTACTAAAGTATTAACTACATGAGACTTGTTCACTGGAAACTTGAACTGATCCACGTCTACGTACAGACTGAACGGTTTAGATCCTAGGTGACTGAATCTGTCATTTCTGGGTTGAGGTAAAGGTCTGAACAGATTAAAACATTGTGTTGCCGATCCTTATCGTTTTCTATTCTAGACACTATTCACACCAAGTCTCTGGGCTGTGGGAGGAACCCTAACCACTCGCGCACCAGAAATCAGTTTTCAGGTCATTTCCAGTAAATTCTGGTTCATCAAACTAGAATACACGAGTTGTTAAAGCAGAATTCCTGTTAAACTGAAAGTTCATGGAAAAACCATTTCCTGTTGTCCACACATTAATAATCAAAGCATTCTTGTGAACAGACATTTTAATTGAAACAAGAGTGACCCAGAACCATGTGGACCTTTTCTATTGACTCCCCATCATCTCTACGGGTTAACAGAATACAAAAAGAAAAGGGTATAGTGGCGAAACCATCTTCAAATTAAGATGCATTATTTACAAAGAATAAAAAGCTGTTTCCTTTTCATCCAGGGGAAAACAAAGATGAAATAAATAAGACCAGAAATGCCTTGTCCACAGTCACAGCATGACAAATCTTTAACGTCGACCTCTGGTGAGAGAGACTGAGAGATTAGGTAATTATTGCCAAAAGCTTTGATCTATACAGTATAATATCCAATACTCTGTTTAGAAAAGGAGACATTTGGAAACTGCTACTTGGGATGATTGTACAGCTTAGATACATCTCATGTTTATAGACTTTAAACCCTTTTTCTTCATAGTTTTAATTCACTGGCAATTTTGGAAGCAATGTTTTTGAAAGCGATGGATGATCCAGATATCCTTTTGAAGCGAACGCCGTTGAGGGAGAGACGGGGGAGTTTGCAGACCTCCATCTCCCACTGCACCAGGTTCTCAGCCCGCCCGTCTCTGTGGACACAAAGGAGGAGGAAGCTCTCTTGCTGTTCGTAGTCGCAGTTGTTGGCATCGAGCACCTTCCGAATCTCCCCCATGATGTCGCAGGGCTCCATGGAGCTGGTGGTTCTCATACTCCAAGTGAATCTGAGGGAGCGGGGTTTACCGTCTTTATTTTCCCCTTTTTGATCCCCAGGTACATGGCGACTGTCGGGAGAAAGACAACACTTCAGCCTCGCAGTAGACAGATGTTCGCAGCTTTTAGAAGATTTATGTAAAACTAACATAAGGTTACATCAGCTGGTTAGTAAAAGTCAGAAGCAGACAAGATGTTGCATAAAGACCAATAAAACATATGCAAACCCTTCTGCATCCCAGTTAGTCCCTTTAGTCACACATGTACCCATTTACTTCTTACATTTTGTCTGTGACCTTTTTTTTTTACAGAAATGTGTCGGCCATCTTTGAAAAATCCAGAATGATCTAAAACAGTTCTTCCTCCTTTAGCAGCCCAGTGGCCTACCCAGAGTCTGGGAGATCGTGGGTCCAAATCCAAAGTCGGGTCATACCAAAGACGAACACTGGGTCATAATGCCTCTCAGCTTTAAGGGGTTTGAAGGGAGGGGGGTGTTAAACCACCAAATGTTTCCCGAGCACAGCCGTGTCTGCAGCTCACTGCTCCCCCGGGTGACGGGTCAAATTCACCACCACAACAGCGTAGCAGCCCTTTAACTACTCTTCTTTTCTCGTACATCTCAGACTCCATGTTTACTTCTGAACTAAATATCCTTTTATTTTCCATTCGGATTTATCTAGCTGGTAACTTTCCCACTAGATAAAGAGAGCCTACACCTGTTATTTCAATAAATCGTCTGTGGTCTCTAGTGTGAATAAATGCCTAACGAGTGGTTTTCTGTAGCTTAAAAGCTCTGGGGCCGCTGTTTCAGGAACTAGATGTTAACCGGAGGATTGGGGCAGAAAACGGCCGGATTAGGAATCGTACTCATTGATATTCATGATTTTGGAACATCTCTTCAACAGTAGTCCAACTTTACCACCGCCTCTGGTTTACCACTCTTCTTCCTTGGGTTAAAAACGATGTTTTGTCTCCACAAATAACACAAGCCTGAACATGTGCCACCATGTTGTGGAATTGCTAACGCTAACAGTTAGCTTCTACTAACTGAGACGTGCTCTGCTCTCTCCTGGATGCTAAATCAACAACAGCCTTCCTCATCATGAGCCCAGTGGGTGGTCCATGAATGCTATTTCCTTCAAGTTGATCTGACTTGCTTTCAGCATTTTTCAGAAAGAACAATTATCCTTTTTTAAAATAATACTTTTAAATAAAACTGTTTTGAGGTTATATTAGTTTCAGCGTTAACCAATCATCTGGAAATTAAAAGCAGGCTTGGTGGGAATGGACTTATTGACATTTGGTCATAAGATCTACAAAAATGTATTTTAAATGGTTATTTTAGTAATTAAAGTCTAAAAAGGTACATGTGATCATTTAAACGTACTAAACATTTTAAAATGAAAACAGATTTAGTTACATATAGTTTTTGGTAAATAATCTGCATAATCTTGTCTGTAGTGACTTCTCCAGTGGTTCTCTGGGTTTTTCATAGATGATAAGAAAAGTGTGTCTTTTTGTCCCAACCTTGCTGTGAAGTGGATTTGGACATGTGTGACGTTTTCAGGTTAACGACAAAGACATGCCATGCTAACAGAGCAGCAGTTCAGAGCCATGCAGCCAGAAGAACAAACCAAATAAAACCAATCAGCCAAGCTTTAAACCATAAATAATAACCTATGTCTGCTGAAACAAACCAAAGCCTACATCCACACAGGGGGACGAGATAACCTCACCTTGAGCTCTCAAGTCTCCCGTTTCTCTCAAATTCTGTTGAGACTCTGAGGCGCAGGAGAAGGTAGACAGGGAGGTGGGGGTCGGAGTGGAGGACAAAAACAACATTGTGGATTGGAGAATAAACATTTTAGATCAAGTCCAGTGAATGAAAAAAGGAGAAAGTGATGGTCGTGAACAACAATATGAGCTACCACTAAAAAGATCAAAGTAAAAGGGGTGGACGGCTGGGCCCCTGTCACCATGAGAACCCAGCCGTGATAAACGACGGTCCCAAACTCAAGCCAACAGTGAAGCAGCAGTGTTTCAACCCAAAGGTGGAGCTGAACAACAGGAGGAATAAAAAAGCAGAGAAGCTGCACGAACATCTGCTGTATTTTCAGAAAATCAAACATATCTGACCAACAAACATCGAGATTAGAGTGTTTTATGTTCTCTGTGTTACATCAGTGTTGGTGTGTGTGAGTCACTATTAATGAACCCGCTCACGGTGAAAAATCCCACATCAGGCAGGGATGAGTGAAGATTCATTTATGTTTTAGATTTTCTTCCAATCACAGTGAAGCTCACAGAACCTAAAGTTCCTCCAACAACAATCTGAAAGACGAGCTAGCTTTAAACCACCAACAGTCATGGAACTCTCACCCTCCAACAGCCGCCAACCTTAGGTCGTGTCTGCCTGACACCGGAACGCGCAAGACCAGAGGAAACGGGAGAGCGCTAAACACCTGTCACAGTTTCCTAGGTCCAAACATCTCGTTGTCCGTGACTCAAATGGTGTTTTCTTCTTTGGACTCTGGTAGTTTGTCCTACAGCTGAAGCGGTAGCAGCCGGCTGTTTCTCCTCCTCTGATGTTATTGAGCAGAGAACCTCTCACACCAGTGGTGTTCTGCTGCTTGGAGGACTTGGAGAAGTGCGACCGTTTGGTGAGACCGACAACCAAATGGTTCAATGGTTGGTTTAAGACGGAGCCGTGCTATTGGCTGAGGTTATCAGACAATCGTGAGAGAGCCACAAAATTATTATTATTTTAAATCTCCACAAAATATTTATAGCCGTTAGAAAATAGTTAAGAGGCATGAAAATGTTTTATGCTAGCTTGGTTTGCAGATTTGCCATTCTAGCTTTAAAGAGCAAGTCACCCCCCCACCAGAGTATTACTCCACTGCCACTTCCTGTTTGAAAAATGTAACAAACGCTGTTGCCTAGCAAACCGAGAGGGCGGAGCCACTAACAAATACACACACACACAGACTCACAACGACATTGTGACATCATATGGTACCAGCTAACGTTCGAGGGTACCTCTTAGCCAATAGCGATGGCAGATTTAAATTAAATGCAGTGCAGAGTTTTTACCTGACAACGGCGCAACACTGCCAGTTTGAGGCAGAAAATGAACATTTTTACTAAAACGCACTAAAGTGCAAAACTATTAACTACACGTGTCTGCAGCACGATTAGACACGCATTTATATAGTTTATCAGAAAAAAAGTTAATTTGGGGGTGACTTGCTCTTTAAGGTCAATAAAACTATTAAGTAAATGTATTTTCTGACCTAAGACACTGCTTACATACGGCAGTCTCACGCTTCCTAGAAATGTGCACAGGGGTTTCTGGATGACATCCCTCCTCTGACACGCCCACTTTCTGGTTTATGAAAAGCCAGCTGATCTGTGGCATTTCATGGGTAACCATGGCAACCCAAAACGGAAAAGCTTTTAATTGCCTTCAAGCGGCACTGCGTGGTTGCAGCAGTGGGCTGTGGAGCAGTCTAGACAGACAAAAATAAACATAAAAGATGACCAATAAGTCATTTGAAGATGTACGGATGAACACGATATTTAAAAATATATATTTTCATCTAGATTCTCATTCAGAGATGGGGGTGCAATGGTTTGGTGAAACTCACCACGGCATCAACAGGTGCTTACACCGGAATTAGACTTAGCCTAAAATCGTCAC